AGGTCTTTCCCCACTTCATTTGGTATCCTTATCCCCTCTGTAGGGATAAGAGCAGTGGGGAATACAGCCCTCAGAGCAGGGCAAGACAACTTATCCTACATGCTAGCTGCAGGAAGGATTGACAGGGGTCCCCTTCTCTTCTTCCCAGAAGCAACTTTCCTTCTTAAAGAGTGGAAGCTGTGGAGTAGAAGAGAGCATTGTGCTGGAGCAGGAATTGCACAGCTTATGGAAACAGGGAGAAAGAAAATGGTTTTACAAGTATGCTTCTATGCCACCTGCCACATGGGTGAAGTCCTGAACTCCCCACAGACTGCCTGGATAGCAGAGGGAAAGCCAAGGAAAGGGAGGAAGAGACAAAAATCTCAGTGATACCATGAAAAATCACTGGACTCTGTTGGAAAAATGAGGAAAAGCATCACAATACATTCTCAATTTGGGGATTTGGGGTTTTTTTTGGTATCAGTATTGTGAAGAACCACTGTAATAACAGTCATCGTTTTCTGGAGGCCTAAATCATCCCCAGCAATCCGAACTGCCCAGTGAATCTGCAAGGAGATCCTTGCAGCTGTCAGGCCCCTGTACAGCATCCCGTCCTGGGCTCCTGTCCCGCACAGCCTGGCCAGCCACTGTTGCAGTAGTATTGATCAAGTCACAATAAGCAGCGCAGCTCAGCTCCGGGGAGCAGCCTCTGGGCTCACTGACAGAAGCTCACAGCTAAAGGGAGGTCTCCTAGGATGCAGGCATCTCATTGCTTCAGAGTCTGGGGACACACACAGACCAATGAGCTGTCTCGACCCAGGAGTTTGGAATGGGATAAAAGGGGGCCAGACACAACAAACGAGGCTGTTGTCTGATAACCAGAAGGGAGTTCTGTCATGTGTTACATCGTGGATTCACTGTAATAAGCCACCACCACCAGGACACTGGAGTGAGACCTGTGCCACACTCCTCTTGCTTTCTGCTTGACCCACTCCTGCCCTGGGAAAGCACAGAAGCCAAAAAATCCAGTTGTGCTCCAGCAAAAGATCACACAGCTGGTCTGACACAGCCACCCTTCCCTGTGAGGCTCATCACAGAGATGATGAGATGCTCTACTCCAAGTCTCTAAAAACCTAAGGCATCCCAACAGGTCAGGTCTAGACTGTCAGAAGTCCTGAAGAAATGGCTCTGGATGAGGAAGGGGCCTGTCTATCCCCCAGCAGTACCGTATACGTGGAGCACTCTTTCGCAGCACACTTTCAACGTAACTGTCCTTCTCCACAGTGGAAGCAGGGTTCCAGTACACACGGCACGCTGAAAAGTTCGATGACAGGGACACCTAGAGAAAAGGCAAATCTCTCTTTAAGATGATATATGTACACACAAACCTCATAGACAATGAAGTCTGTGATGGATTGCAGAGGGCCTAATAGAAAATGTCTTTTGATAACAGAAGTGATGATATCAGACCAGAATCAGGTTATGAGTAAATCAGGACTGATCTACGCCCAGCCATGTCCCAGTGCAGCACAAACACCTTGCAGCTATAAAATCTGTATTGTATTGGGAAGAAGGCTGTTTCTTTCCATCTCTCACGTTATAAGTCGTTTAATTTACGGCAATACCTCCTGAAAGAACTGTCTTGCCCACAACCAGCCAGCATTTTCACATGCAGACATGTGATCTGAGACAAGCTCTAGTGAGACAGAAATACTCTGTGAGGGATGCTGCACATATACAGCTGAAAGACTCATCTTGTCCATGTAGTTTTGAATGCTTGTCTGACAATAGAATGAATTCAGCTGGAAAAAACATCTATTTTAGTAATGAATGACAACCCTTTTGTCATAGAGGCAGCTATGAGGTATCATTTTCCATGCTTCTAATATCAAAGTTAAGTCCACCAAGCTTTTAAGCCAAACACTGGTATAATTTAATCTTTATAGAACAGCAAATGTAGATGATAAAAACTGCAGACAACAAAAAAGAATGCAGAGACTGACTTAGTTCCTGTATCAGAACTCTAACTTCCCTTTCAAATCCACAAATTATGACACCACTAGATAAAATTACATACAAATCTCAATTCTTTCTCAGATCTGGCTTGACAATGACATTTTCTCAGGCTTGGCCTTTTTTTTGAACTAATCTCATGCATCACTTAGGTCTTCTGCCAATAACATTGCTGGGGAGTGACACAAGCAGGTGACAACTCTCACACAGCTGCAAGAAGAACAGACTCTGGAAAGATACACTTATCTTCGTAAAACCATGTGCCTCCTTCTGAAAGGGCAAGACAAAGAGTTTATGTCTGAGTAATAGGAAAAAAAGTCATATCATGAGAATCATCATTGAACTGGCCGGAGTTGCATTTGCATTAGAGTGGCAAAGGTCTCCTAAGTCAGGTACTACAGAGGCAAAGCTCTACTCATGTGTACTCCTGTGCCAGATTGCTGCACTCTGCCACATCAGAAGCAATACAGTAAAACTCCTCTTGGCACACATCACAACACCCAGGGGAGCTCCTCTGGCACGTCCATGCCAACCTCACAACATAATCAGAGTGGCTCAGCACAAGCTGTAGCCCTGGCACTTGCCTTGCAGATTTCCAGCTTGAGATCATAAAATTCTTGACTGACTTCACAGGTAGTGGCCATCTCTAACACAGCTTTATGAATAAGCCCATTCAAGACTCTGCAGCGCACGTTGTCTTCTTTCCTTGTTTTTGTAAGGTCATTTTTCTTTAAAAAGTCCAGCTTGGTTGGTTTATACAACTATAAAAAGAAACAAACAACACATTAAACAGTAGTTACACACCTTATTAGGCAACTATATACAGTTTCATGCACTTTACGAAGCATGCTCTTATTTCATTATTGCAGCTGTGAAGGCTTTATATAAGTCCTACATATTAAGTGTTTCAATATCAAATACTTCTGTTCACAAAATCTCTGACATTCGTGTACTACAGTCAAAGTTTCTAAAGTTCTTTGTGTATTTTGTAGCAAGTTATGAAGCTCCATAGATCTGTTTTCTCAAACACAGCATGCATGACTGAAATACAGCAAGCAAAACTGAAAAGTTTTGCTTGTTTGAAAAGCAAACATTAAAAAAATTTTCATTAAACTAACTTCTATGAATAAAAGTTTTAATTTGAATCAGTACTCAGGAGTGTGCAAGAGAGCATTGATACTGGCAAGGATGAAGCTGAATGACAATCTTGTCACAGTCAGACTGGAGCCCTACTCTTTGCTCACAAAATCCTGCTATTTCTCCATGAGAAAATGCTTCAAAGTTAGAATCAATGGCAGAAACACAAGTCTGTTCCTCCTGGCACAAATAAACAAATCGCCTTCAGAGCTTGCACTTACCGTTTGTGATCCCAGGGTAGGGCTGTCATACCAGTACTTCTTTCTTTTGGGAAAAGGAAAGGAAATCAGCCTTATCTTTCAGTAGCTCAGAGAAATAAGGATTCTCTGTGTAATTATTATTCCACCTGCCTGAAAGGACACAACACCCATACAAGTCGCTATCCTCACAGCTGAGGTGCAGGGAGCAATTCTTCCCACTCACAGCTAAAGCTGCACATAGATGAGAAGGGGGTGGAAAACAACAGCTCTCAGGTTTCTTTAGATTCAGAGAATCATTAAGGTTCAAAAACAGGGCTAAGATCATCAGTCCCATGGTTAACCCAGCATTGACAAGTCCAGCACTAAACAGCACTAAATGTCTCTAAGCACCACTTTACACGTTTTCTGAACACTTCCTGAGACAGTGATTGCACCACTTTCCTGGGGATCCTGTTCTATTGCTTGAACATTCTTCCCTTTCAGTGAAGAAATTTCTCCCAATATGCAGTCTAAATGTCCCTTAGTGCAACTTGAGGCCATTTCCTCTGTCCTGTCACTTGTTTCTTGGGAGAAAAGACTTATTCCCACCTGGCTACACCCTCCTTTCAGGCAGTTGTAGAGAGTGATAAGGTCCCCCCCGAGTCTCTTTTTCCCCAGGCTGAACACCTCCAGCTCCCTCAGCTGCTCCTCACAGGACTTGTGCTCCAGATTCTTCACCGCTGCCCTTCACTGGACATGCTCCAGCATCTCGATGTCTTTCCCGTACAGAGGGGCCCAGAACTGGTCACAGCACCCGAGGTGTGGCCTCACCGAGAGCACAGAGCACCGAGGGACGATCAGTGGCCCGGTCCTGCAGGACACACTACTGCTGGTAAAGGCCAGGGCCATTGGCCTTCTTGGCCACCTGGGCACAAGTTCAGCCGCTGCCGACCAGTTCAGATCGGCGGCTCGGGGTCGGTGTCTCTCTCTTCTCCGCGGTGCCGGGGCTGCGGGAGCGCCCGAGCCTCACACCCCTCTGACTCCCCTTGCCCCAGCGCCCACAGCCCACCCCGGCAGGGCCCCGCACCTACTTATTCTTGCGGAGCATTTTCCGCAGCAAGTTCCTGGAGCCGCCCAGGGCTGCGGAGCTGCGCAGGGCCCGACAGCACCGCGGCACCACGGCCACTCGGGCGCCCCACATTGTTGCCCTGGCCCGCGGCCCGGCCCGGCACGGGGAGCTCCCACCTCCGCTCCGGCTGCGGCTCCCCCTGCCGGCACGGAGGCCCGGGCCCGCGGCTGTCCCGGCCGGTCCCGGAGAGGGAAGGAAGGAAGGAGAGAGGGAAGGAGGGAGAGAGGCGGAGCCGCCCTCAGGCTGGGCAGGGCTCGCACATACTCAGACCCTGGCTCCCTCACTGACCCGCGGCGGGAGCACGCACCCAAGGGCCGGGATTGCTGCCGGAGCGGCGGCAGGAGCCGCTCCGACACGCCGGCTGCGCTTGTGGCTGTGCCGGGCGGTCCCTCTAAGACGCCGTTTGCATGTCCTTCAATTCGCTGCTGCATCGGCGGACAGCTGTAAGGGGATGCGAGGAAAGTAAATAACATTGAGGCAAGACTCGGTACTCCGGACTTCTCCATTGAAGATCAAGACAAAACACTGCAGTTTTCCACACAGAACTGCTGCTGAATATTAAATAAATTGAACCCGTGATTTATATATTTTATCTGAATAGCACGAAATTACACGAAGTAATTACATGAAAAGTGATCAAATTGTTGCTTCTGCACTGATGGCATTAATCCTAAATGCAAGCTGCTCAGGGCAGCACCTCACGAGGGATAGGAAGACCCGCCAGGCCTGCCTCTATGCTCTCTGCCATTTCCTCCATCATAACCCAGCGCGTCTTCTTGGTGGCACTTCCGATGTGAGGAGTTATTATAACATTCTTCAGCTTTAACAAGGGGTGATCCCTGCGAGAGGAAAAGAAATGCTGAACTAGTCACTCACAGCACAGTCATCAGTATTTCATCAGTATTGCAGGCTGCCAGGGAAAATAATAATTAAAAATAAAACAAAACCTAATTGTATGACCCACGTATATTCAGAGGAGTTCAAAGGGCTGCCTAGCTTGGTGGGGTTTTATGCAACAAATCCTCCAAATAAGTAAGTGTGAATTTTATTTGGCTGAAACAGGATTAGGGACAAAGTTTCAGCAGGACCAGTGCACATACCTCATATACTCCTATTAACAAAATTTTACTCAGTTTGAACATCACACATACACCCTTTATTTTTAACATAAATACATGTCCTACCTTGGCAAAGGTTCAGGATATGTCACATCCAGAGCAGCTGCCTTAATAACTTTGTTTTGAAGGGCTTCCACCAAAGCATCCTGATCCACTATCAGACCTGGGGTACAGTAAGAAGGATATGTTTATTTTCATGTCCTCTCAGTATTCTTTTGGGTGAAGTGGTGAGGCAAACAGCAGGGCAGGCCATGGTCACAGTGCAGAAGCAGCAGTGGAGTGGGAGTGGGAAGCCTGGGTATGTGCATCAGGGAATTAGCAGAATGAAACCGAGTGCCAGGTGTCAGGGTGGGCTGTGCCACCCTAATGTGTGTGAGCAGCAACATTGCATTAAATAAATAAAAAGATTAAGTAGGAGATATATAGAGACACATGGGCTTCTAACACTCCAAGGTCACTAAAATTTCAGAGGTCTACTTTCTCATTATTATGGGAACACTGAAATATTTTGCTGAGATATGACCATGGGTGTCTAAACAAACTAATAATCAGAAAATTTACAGAAAATTTCAGAGGGACAGCCTCTATAATTGGAGGTTTTCCCAGGACTTGTCATGCCACCAAACTTTAATGCAGTTTTGTTTATTCTGCACCTTACCTCTGCTGATATTAATAAGAGTAGCAGTGGGTTTCATCAGCTCCAGCTCCCTCTTCCCAATCAGTTTGTGTGTCTGTGGAGTTAGGGTTGCAGCCAATAATACAAAATCTGACTGCTGGAGCAAATCATCTATCTTCTTGCAGTAAATAGCTCCAACAGCACTTTCTTCTTCCTTTTTTCTGAAGGAAAAAATCCCAAAATTAAACTTCAGTAGCAAGAAACAAGGGAAATGTCAAATCACCAGCAGAGAAAATGTTTGTTTATCTTTAAAGGTATCTTTATCTTTGCTGTGTAGTTCAAAGCAGTTAGCTGCTTGTCTGAAACTCAGTAAAAAAAAGATCAAGCTATTTCCCACAATACCAAGTGAACTGTACACAAATGTGCAGTATGGTGGGGATAGAAAGTAAGAAATGGGTATCACATAAATGCACTGAATAAATGATAAACCAAATGCATCTTTGTCACGATTTTTGTGCTAGGGATTCTTTTCCTACCCAAAAGCGAGACTGATGTCTTGTGAATATCAAATAATTTAAGTAAGTAATGTGAAAATTACTGAGGAAACAGACAAGACAGGGCAGGGATTAAATCTTTCCAAATCTACATCAGCAACAGCCTGATTGTGCTGTGCATCAGTGCTGATTCGCTGAAACCACACACTGCAGAACCTGCTGGCACACTCGATCTGTATCAGGATGAGGTTGGCTGGCTCTCATCAAATTCCCACAAAAGAAAAGAATGGAATGGGCCTGATGGGAGCACAAGGGCACAGGGCACATACACCTCATCTAGAAGACAGCAAACAGACTGGCAAGTCTGGCCCTATATTGTCACGTGGCTTTGGAAGGGTGAGATGTCTCTGCCTGAATCCCTGCCTCACCTAAATCACAGGAGTTCAGTCCTCCCAGTTTTCTCCTTTCCAGTCCATTGCAATGTCACCACCATGGCAGCAAGAAGTCAGGAGCCCCAGCTAACAGGGAGAATAGTGAATTATATCTCCCACATTCCTTCCTGACTTTCTTTCTGTAAAATTTGGGAAATTAACGACCATCTTGGAATATGTGTATGTATTTTTCCACTTAAAATAAAGAGCACTGTAAAAAGTGAAAGCACAGCGAAAAGTACAAATAACACATAAAAGGAGTGACAAAATAGAGTTGCCTTAGAACTGCAACAAGCTTTACCTCTGATTTCTGTTGTGGTACAAAATCTTCATTTCAAAGGCTTTGGCTCTTTCAGCCACTTTGTAACCAATTTTGCCCATTCCCACGATTCCCAGGGTTGCTCCAGAAACCTCAGCCCCCAGCCAGTCAACGGGGAAATACTCTGTGTCAGGGGAGACTGCCATCTCATGGCCTTGGAAGAGCAAAAGAAGAATTTTGTAATCTAAAGGATGTTCCAGCATCTGGTTACTTCCCCCCCCACACACTTTTTTATCATAGGACTAGGCAGAAGCACAGAAGCAGTAATGTATGGTCATGTAATGTATTGTTTCTGGACAATAAGTGAGTAATGCTGCACTGTACTCAGGACTGCTGACACTGATTTCTTGCTCAGGAGAGAAACATACCCAGCCTCTCTTTGGCAAGAAAGGAAGCAAGGAAGGTAAGGCCAAAGCAGCAGTAAGGGCTTCTGATTCCCAGCCTCCTTGCAGATATACCAGGGTTGGCAGGGAAAAGAAACACAGAGCATGGTGGGCAGATTTCTTGTTCATAATGACTCAGATACATGGCAGCTTGGCAAAGACAGGCTACAAACCTCCTTGAGAATACATTCTTTTAATCCCCTTTTATTGCAACCTGAAAAGCAAGACTGCAATGAACAAGTACAATGAATAAGTGGCTGTGAGCTGAAGGAGAAGAGGCCTGAATTTAGAACTGTCCAAAGAAGGAACAACTCTACCTTGCCAATATGCCAGTTTGGAAATAGGATGCCAATTATTGTCAACAAGACAGATTTGTCTTAACTTCTTCCTTTGCCCCTATTTCCCATGTTTCTAGTGTTAAGCTTACTTTTGCATCAGCACACATTTCCTTCATGTTTTGAAGTCATCTTTTCTATGAAAAAACTAAGATCATTTAAGTTATTACCTTCCACAAGTCTCCTGGAAGATGCCAGCATCAAAGCCATCCCCATGTCTGCAGTGTCAGTGGAAACAACAAATGGAGTATTGGACACCTTCACACCATAGCTGGAGAGGAGTTTCAGATCCAAGTGATCTATTCCCACTCCAGCACTTGCAACTACTTTCAAGTTATTCAAGCTCTGGAGCAGCTCTTCATTAATAGCTGGTTTGTGATACCACACATAGATAGCTCTGATCTTTTTGCTGAGAAACGTCTTGTTTTCAAGATATTCTTTCATGGTGATGAGATGAAAACGTTTCTTCAGAAATCCAAGATGGTCTTCATATACTCCAAGTCTCCCTCCTATACAGTCAACTAGCACATAAGGCAGTTCCTGACTCTCCATGCCCTACAAAAGCAAAGAGAATCAAAAGGGCATTATCTGAAGAGATCCATTTTACCTTTTTTTCTAAAAACCAGAAATTGATTGGCTCAATTATGTGCTGTTTTCCCACTTGATGAAGGATTTGGCTAAAGATAACCACTCACACATGCAGAAGTCTTTTGGTTTCTCCCTGTGTTATTCAGAAGGATGTTCAATTTCTATATAATCTTATTAACAAGAAAACATTTCTGGCATACCAAGTATGCTAACACTTAAACAAATGAATAACCAGTTGTTACTCCTGTTCAATGTTCAATATCTAAAGCCAAAGTCTATTATTTAAGAATGCGGCCGTGTGAGTGGAAAGGTATCTTTTAGTCTGCAAATTCTGCCACTTCTGCAATTATACTAAGCAATTATCATTGATGAGATTATCTCAGTAAAAATCTCATTTAATGTAACAGAGCTATAAATTGTCAGTTATGAACTTTGGAGTTACCCATGAATGTAAATTTACCCTTTCTTTCTTCAGCCTCCTTCAGTGCTTTGCCAACTCTTCACTCTTCACTCTGCTGACTCTGCAAAGAGCCAAGGCTGTGATCTCAGGTTAAAGCCGAGACGCCCTCACGCCGCACCTCATTGCGAGAGGCAGTGCTCCCGCCCCGGCACCGCCGGGCCAGCTCCCCCTTCTGTGCCCCGGCCACCCGGCCCGGAGCGCGGTGTCCCGGCAAGTTCTCCCTGCCCAGGGCGGGCGGAGCGCTTTCCCCTGTCCCGGCAGGACTTAAGATAGGAGGGAGCTGGAGGGCGGCCGCGGGCTCTGTCCAGCCCTGAAGGGCGGCTGGGAGCGGGCGAGATCCCTCCCGCTGCCAGCCCGGGCGGGATCTCGCAGGACCGCGGGAGCCCCTGCGCCCGGTGCTGCCCCCGGAGCCGCCCGCGGGGCCCGGGCCCTGTCCCCGCCTGGCACAGGGGGGCCCGGCGCGGTCCCGCCGTGCCGCTCGCACTCACCCTCCGGCCGTGCCCGCCGCTCCCTGCGCGCCGCGGGGCGGAGCGGGAGCGGCCGCCGAGGCGGGCACGGCCCGGCCGCCCGCACCCCGCCCGGGGCAGCCTGCGCGGCCAGCGGGGAGGAGAGGCGGCGCCAGGGCACGGCACGGGCACCCCGATCCCTCGGAGAGAGAGCAAGGCGAGCTCACGAGTGATTGTGTGTTTTTGTAGGAGTGTTTCTGTGCTGTTCGTGATTTCAATACAGTCGGGATTTTGCGTTAATGTCCTGCGCGCTGTGTCTTCCATACTGTCTTTGAAAATCGGACGTGGTCTGGCCTTTCTGCTGATCATTACATGCTGTGCATATGAGTCTGCATAAGATGAAGAGTTGTCTCTGACCAACCTACACCAGTGACAGCTCTCACTGTACAAATGAAGGTCTTTTCCAACCTATATGATTCTAAGAGTACCCTAAAAATCTCTCTTTGAGAGCTAAGCAGCTGGGGCACGCTCAGGTGCTTGGACACCTGAGATGATAGCTCAGCTACAGATAGTCCTGTGCCAACTTCAGCTGAGAATATGTGAGAATTTTTCTGACAAGGTTACTTGGTCTGTGTCATAGAATCACAGAATGGTTTTGGGTTGGAATGGACCTTAAAGCCCATCTATTTCCAAACCCCCTGCCACAGGCAGGGACACCTTTCACCTAGACCATGTTGCTCAGAGCCCCATCCAGCCTGGTCTTGAACATTGGTAGGGATGGGGCATCTACAACTTCTCTGCTCAACCTGTTCTGTTGCCTCATTATCCTCAAAGAGGACAATTTCTTCCTAATCTTCTCTATTCTACTACCTAACCTAAACCTACGCTCCTTCAATTGAAGGCCATTCCCCTTGTTCTATCACTGCTTGTGAAGAGTCCCTCTCCAGCTCTCTTGCAGTCCCCCTTTAGCTACTGCAAGGTTGTTATAGGGTCTCCTCTGAGCCTTCTCTTCTCCAGGCTGAACAACGCCAACCCTCCCATTTTGTCCTCATAGTAGAGGCTCTCCAACCCTGTGATAACTTAGTGGCCTTCCCTGGACCCACTTCAATAGGTTCACATATTTTTTGTGCTGAGGACCCCAGGGCTAGATGCAACATTCCAGATGGGATCCCACAAGAGCAGAATAGAGGGGAAGAACCACCTCCCTCGATCTCCATATCCAGTGATGGGCACTGGGAAGTACAGCTTCAGTTCTCAGGTCACAGAGGCTGTGCTGAAGTGATTCCCCTGGCTGTGCAGGTGGTTGTAATCACCGGGGAGGACGCCTGGTTTCTGGGGTCACAGCACCTCAGGAGCCAGGACACACCAGTGCTATGGGCATCCAGGGATCTTTCTCCTTTCACACTACAGAATAACCAGCCATAGGGGCTGCTGTGTCTCTCGTGACTACTGTAGTGCTTTTCAAAAGAATGGATTACAAATTGCTGGTGTCTTGAATTCTGTCAAATACACTTTGATATGCTGAACATGAAGACAGTCAAGTTTAACACCAATCCTCTATAAAATTTCTAATAAAAAAAATAAACTATAATAACAATATCGATTACACAAAACCATAAATTGTTCTTGTTATCCTGGTGACGAGTTTTGAGTATCAGTTGCTTACATTAATTTCAAGTTCAAACAGTTAAACTTTGAAGCAAAAATTACTTAACTAGTAATAAGGAGTTATAGAACATTAACTGTATTCTTAGTTAAGTTTGCTGGCATTTTCTTCCTTTAAAAAAACACATAAAACGATTACACATTACTTCTTTCACATCAAAAGTTTCCAAACTGCTTTAGTGGTAAGATTGTAATGAGTAAGCTTTCAACTTACTGCTCACCTGAGATCAAAGGACCCTTGTAAAGTCCCTCTCAAAGACACAAGTCTGAGGAAGAAGGCCTACCACATTTTAGTCTTGAAGGTAAAGAAAAACCTTTGGGAGGGCAACACAGTAGTGTTTACTTTGTACATCAAATCCACAAATTTGAATGAACAAAATGAAGGAGAAATTAGTCAGAGGAGCCAATAACACACAAAGGAATGTTACTCCAAGCAAAAATCCAGGTCATACGTATCAAATGTCAAGAAAATGAGTGTGTTATGTGGTTAGATGTGGAGAGAATTGGATGTTCTCAAAGCTGTTTTGTGCAACTTGAACATCCAGTTTTCAAGCTATAGGTCAGGAGCTGATACAGCTCTACAGAAATTATATCTGTTTAGCATCCTATGAGAAAAAAGTTGTCAATTGCAGCAGTGCACTATCATGTTCTAAGTATATTTAGTTTGTAGACTACCTTACAGACCTCCATGCAGTGTGTTAAGCAGAATTTCACTGTGTGTACATCATTGCTGTGTGCCAGTTTTCTCTTACAAAAAGGGATCTGATATACCAGCACTGCACAGAGAATTGAAATGAGTGAGGTCTGTGGGTATGCAGAGAGAAGTATTGCAGAGTCTGTGGACTTCATCCCCATCATTAAATATCGCTGTTGGTGTCCATGTAATCCTCAGGGTGAGCTGAAGCCTGCAGTGTTAACAAGGTGCTTGCATAATAGTCGTTTCTTAGCATTAGGCTTTGAAGTGTTGCATTACCATAAAAGACTTTTGTACAATGCAATGCATACATCTCTCAGGTGGGTTGTACAGAATAGCTTAAGTATGAAGCTGGAAAAAGACATACATTTCCTACGTCTACATTAAGTTTTATAAGGCAGTATTTTTTTGCAGGCAAAAAAAGCTGAGGCAGGAATTCTTCAGGCAAGGCCAAACCAAGTGATGCATTTGTTTTGAGTGACTATAAACTATCATAAAGTGTTATTTGGTATCAGCCTGTCTAGTTGCTGTAGGTAAGGCCAGCTTTCCCAATAGACCACTGTATCAGCACTTTATTCCAGATCATGTACTTTTTGCACATCAAAATATTTAAAAAAACCTGAATCAAAGGAGTGAACTATAATGGATCATCTTTCCCCTCATGTGGCCACAGCATTTTTGGATCGACTTGCAGTAACCATGAGATTGAAGGTATTGTGTGTAAATAAACTCATCACTCCCGTGACTGGCAGGAAGATGTGTCTTCCCTTCTAAAGCACCCCCTGGCAGGGAGCACTTCTGAAACTAATCAGCACAGGTTCTTTTCACTCCTACATCTGCAGATGTAGGAGTAAAACTCCAAGTAAATACCAAGCATGTACAATTGTTTAAGTAGGTGTGAAGTACTGTATCTGATTTTGTTTGCTTCTTCACTTGAGAAAAGTTTGCATGTGCGAAAGCCTTGTGTGTTTTCTGCAGTTTTGGGATATTGATCTAAGAAAAGGCATTTTTTTTCCTCTTTTTTATTGTGCAGTAACCTTGTTTTTCAGCTCTGTAATTTATTGCTTAGCCTCTTATTTTTGAATAAATTTAACTTACTTTTTCAAGGTTATACATGTAACAATAAAATGTGTACTGGGCACCTGTATCTCAAAGAGCAGGGAGGCCCCTGGGGCAGTCTTGAAATTCTTGACAGCCAATTTGCTGTGCCTGAAAAGCTGCAATGTCTTGTTTCCTGGAGCTGCAAAAGTGATGGGACAAAGTGTATTTTGGCCAGCATACCTGCAAGACAAAGGCTCTGTAAAGATGCTTAAGGCTCCAGGCAAAATCCCGGCTGCACTTAATGGCAACTTTGCTATAAATTTTAAGGATAAATAATACTATTCATAAAGTCATCCTACATAACAAAAGGCATAAGCCACTCAGGGTGTTTATTTGCCTTTTGGACCTGTATTAGACAAGAGAAACTATAAAAACACAACTGACACGATAGCAAACTGTTTCCTTCCAAGCTTTAGTGAGATGTATGGACATTCTTATATTTAACAAGATCTTTAGAGCTGATGTGCAGGGCAAAGATAAGAATAAAAAGACAAAGAGAAGAATGAAAAGATCCGCAATATCCTTTCACACATCAGCTAGGGAGCACTTCACTGGGTAGGGGGAGACCATTCAGGGCTGCTAGTATGTTTTCAACTGCTTCCTCTGTTATCATGTAGGTGGCCTTGTCTGTTTTAATGCCGAGGTGAGGTGTTATAATGACATTCTTTAATTTTAACAATGCATGATCTCTGGAAGAAAAGAAAAAAAGAGTTAACTATTGTTGTTCATCTAAATAAAGAGGAGTCTTACTTTAGCTTTTGCACAGTATTTAAAGTTAATTTGATACAACTCTACAAGTCCCACATAGCCCTGAGTAATTTTGAACTGCAATAGGACAAGCAAAGACTTCATAAGTAGCTCTTCTCTCCAGAAACACACTTCTGCCATGAGGCAGCAATTTGAACTATGTCAGAAGAGAGGATTTAAGCCCTCCTGACACATTCACCTTACACAATAGTCTGAGCTGTAGTTATTTGCACGCAGACACAACAAGACCAAACTCCTCACAACCCAAAATGCAGCCAGCACAGTTTATTCCAAAAGGCACCATCCTGGAAGAGCAGTCTTTTTAGAGAAGCTAAGCAGTCTCTAGGTTTAAGAGGTTCGCAGTACTTCAGCCTTGTATTGTGGAAAGAAGCCTGTGGAAAGAAGCCTGCCTATGCGGCAGGTCTTAGGCCTCAAGCAGCTTCCACCCATTAAAACTGGCAAGCTGCACTTTCTAATAAAGCAATTTGCAAGTGAAGCACTGCTGCAGCTTCAGGGGGTGATTCTAAGGACTGGGTTTAAATGTTTTCCCTGCCTCCTGCTGTTTCCCAGCTCCCAGACTTCCCTTTGGTCTGTTATCAGCCCCTGTGTCTGGGCTGCATCCCATTCCCATTCATGGCACTTTTATCCCAGCTCATGCCAGGGGCAGGGGGGCCAGCTTCCTGCCTGCTGCAGGGATGCCTCTGGCCTCAGCAGGGCTCCCCCATCCTTCCCAAGGAATAAGCAGAGATGGCAACCTGGGCAGTGGCTCTGGGGAGGTGACATCCAAAGCCGCGGCCCTGATAACACCGGTCTGCAGAGCTGCCACCAGCGCCTCTTGGTCAACTACTGCACCTGGGGTGGAATGAGAGTGTTCCTGAGTGCACCTGGCAGGCGAAGAGCAGAGAGCAAAGAGAGAAGGGAAAGGGAGAGGGAGGAATTTGCTGATCACCCTCGCCACGTGCCCCAGCTGTGCTGGATGCAGCACGGCGCTGTGGGACACAGCAGGATCATGCTGTGAGGCCAGCCAATGGATCTGGATGGTACCTCGGCTGATGTTAATGAGGGTAGCTGTGGGTTTCATCAGCTCCAGTTCTCTTTTCCCGATCAGCTTGTGTGTCTGAGGTGTCAGGCTCACCACTAGCATCACAAAATCTGCCTGCTGGAGCAAACTGTCTATCTTTTTGCAGTAAGTAGCACCAACAGCTTGCTCCTCGTGCACTTTCCTAATGGGGAAAAAAGTACTTCAGTCATGGAAACATTATTTTTCAATGGTATCACCAGAATACAAACAAAGGATCTGATTATCCACACATCCATATAGCAAACAGGTGGCAAACAGAGGTGAATTTACCCTCAGCTCAGTGTTTAGATCCTTCTGGAGAGCTTCAAGCCCTACAGCACAAGATAGATTGCATGCCTGCCTCTCAGCCACTCCAGTGCAGGATTCCAAGGGCTTTTTATGAAGTCTGCAATGAACTAAGGCTGAGCACTGAAGCAAATGGCAGCACACAGTCCATTCTCCAGGATCCCCTGTGTATGTCAAAGGATGCAATCACTGCTCAAACCAGAGGAATGGTATTCACCAGAACTCACCCATGCATGCTCTGGGCATGGCAGTGCTCCTCATCCTATTGTCACTCCCAGTAAGGCCGTCATTTTTTTATGAGTGAAATCAGCAAGGCAGCTCTTTGCCAGGCTCCTGGCTGCCCCAGGACATTCATAGAGTAAAGTGTTCAGCAGACAACATTACCAGAGTAGAGAGAGTTTTAGTTTTGACTTTCCACAGTGCAGAAGAATACTTGCCATTTCTCACGTTTTCTGTAAATTTAGCTGTCTGAATTTTGGGAAATAAAGAAGCAATGATAGGAGACCATATGTAGAATCATCTGCTTCTGGTTGCAAGAGAAGGGCTTTAAGTTATCTCCTCCCTAATCTAGAAACAGAGATCACACTAAGAAAATAACTTCAATTTAACTTTGACCCATGTCTCTCCTAACAAATACACTTCACTGGTTTTTTTTTTCAGGCCAACGACCAGAGACTAAGCGGGAAAAGAGCAGAATGTAACTGCAGCCAGTTTTGCAGCATGCAGAGGGCACCTTGATTCAGCACACAAGCTGAAAGTGTAAATGTACTTTAAATATACTTTAGACTTTTAATTTCTGTTGCACTGGGCATTAATAATTCATCACAGCACTCTTACATAAATATTATTTTAAAAACTGAAAAATATTAAACAGAGGGACTTGAGGATGATACACATTAAAAAAAAAAAAGAATAAAGGGATTTGTGCCTTTTAAATTTTTTTTTGTGGTCTGTGAAGAAATTCTGAAATATCTTAAGGAGTACTTTCTTTTAAATGTAAATTTGCTCATCTGTTTTTCTGAAGAAACAGGAATGCCAAGCATGGCTAAAAATTCCTGGCCTCATTCACCCTTGTGATTTGCCTAGAGCGAGCTAAAGCGGTAACCCTCCTCCAGCAGTCTGCCTATGGTGAAAATCATTGAAAGCCACATCCTAGCACTGTAGCTTCTCCCTCCAGTCACAGAGGAGTAAAGTCCTCTCAGGGTAGGTCATAGTTTATAGCAGTAAATATTTGTTCTGCTCATTATCTGCACCTTGCCTGATTGCAAAGGCCTCGAGTTGTTCATGGGGGTCTTGCTCACCTCAAATTGAAGAGCCCCTGTGCTAAATGTCCAACAAGGTTCAGATTCCCAAACACATAAGCTAGGAGGAACTAGAAATAAAGGGTGAAATCTACCTAAATACTGGCTAAAATTCCAACTGCCTTGAGAAAAAACAAGGTTTTCTTAAGAACAGCTCTCAGTCATATTTTGCCAAGTATATGCTTCCTAGTTTCCACTATTTCCAAAATATCCCTCCTGAACTTCAAAATATGGGGAAAAAATGAACAACAAATAGAGTTATGTTGTCACCACAGTACAATGTGATACGAATAAAAAAAGCATAAGCTTGATTTCCATTTTTCTGCAAGAAACCCTGAAATTTCTAATACAAAACATAAATTTGGTTTCCAGATGTTTAATCACTGAGTAACTCTTTACAGGACTGATTTACAGGACTGTTGCTCTTTACAGGCAACCATTCTTTTTTTTTCCTTTTGTTTTAATCTTGGCCCTATTCCCTCATTTCTTGCTATATTTCTTCATAACTCCTTGAAAAGAAAATACTGACTATCTGGAAGAGTTTCTGCTGCAATTAGGGTCAAGACATATCTTTACCTCCGTGTCCTGTTGTGGTACAAAATGTTCATTTCAAATGCTTTGGCTCTCACAGCAATCTTATACCCAATGCGGCCCATGCCAATGATCCCCAGAGTAGCTCCAGCAACTTTAACTCCCAGAATATCAGCTTCACAGTAGTCCATACTTGGAGAAATTGAAATGTTATGGACTGCAAAAAAAACCACATAAATATGGGAAATGAATGGGGTCCAACACAGAGGAACAAGGCAAAAGAGCCTGGACTTGTTGTGCTACTATAGCATACTTGTAATGGTTACAAACATGATTTTTAATGTAGTGTCCTAGGTAACACCCTAACATATCATCACTCCCTGCTACATGTATAGATGATAATCCAATTTATTCTCACCATGCTACAAAAAGCCTTTTGATATAATCCCTCCAAAAATTTTATTACTACTCATGAAAATATTGCCCTGTACCTCATCAGCAATCAAAATAATTATTGCCAATAACAATGCAGAGTTTGAAGATATCACGTGGAGAATATCATCAGGTATTGGGTTTCCTCTTCACATCTGCCACTTTCCTTGGAAAGAAAAGTGAGACTTTAAAAAACACAACTTGGTAATTTCTGTAATTACCTGTTAAACCTGCACAATTCTGGATAGTTCTACATCACATAAAATACAGTATGTACACAGTGTCAGCACTTCTTGCAAGTGCTTTCTTGCAAGATATTTCAATCTTCTGACATTGCCAGTTTTTCTAAAACACAAGCAGAATATTGTGAAAGGATACAAAAAATGACTCAGGAAAAAGCTCAGTCTATCAGAAAACTCGGAACTATCAGAAATGCCACCAGGGATAGTTCAAGTAGATGGGAACAATAAATTAATCTTTCTTTTAAACTGTCTCCCCTTTGTGAGGTAGAAACCAACTTAGAGGGATGCAAATCCCCTCTGAGTTTCTACTTATCCTGTAGTACAGATGGCAAGTCAAAGTCAGGTAAATATAAAAGGATAAATCTGAAGGATTTTTTTCCTGAAGAAAGAGGCTTTCTAATCAAGCCAAGGCTAGGTCTATTTGACAAAATAGCAATAAAAAATTGTTGATGAAACTAGAAACAATGCTATTAACAAAAACTGAAGTAGGCTGCCTCTATTATTACTCCCTAATGCCCCTTAAATGCCCAAATTCTGCACCAAGACACTTCAGTCTCCAAGAATATGCCCATGCCTCTATCAGCCCTGTGGGTTCCTTCCAACTCAGGATCTCCCACAATCCTATATAATCTTGTTATACCCCATTCCTGCCTCCCACACTAAGTTGTTCTGCTAGGCTGTGACTTCAGTGATATCTGATCTTTGGCCATAGCACTGTAATGCCATCATGTTTTATTTATATTTGCTTGAACATAAATGCTATGTATGCCAAATGTAATAATTTAAGTATACCTATTATACATAAAATATATTAAAATACTGATTATTCTGTTTGCCAAGCCAACATACTTACATTTTTACATTTTATGTAAAACCGTGTACACCACAGGTAACCATAAGAAAAGTCATATTAATAGCAGGCGAATCTTGTATTATTTTTACAAGCCACAAAAGAATTGAGACGTTACCTTCCACAAGTCTTCTAGCAGAGGCTAGCAGCAAAGCCATCCCAGTATCTGCTGTGGTGCTGGAAACAGCACGTGGAGCATTAGCCATCTTCACACCAAAGCTAGCTATAAGCTTCAGATCCAAGTGATCCATCCCCACCCCTGAATTTGCAATCACTTTTAAGTTTGGCAGGCTCTGGAGGAGCTCTTTGTCAATGACCGGTTTGTGCCACCACAAATAGATTGCTTGGACCATTTTGCCTACATCCTTTCTATTTTCAAGAAATTCCTTCATGGTGATGAGGTGGAAATGTTTCTTCAGGAATGGCACATGGCTATGCAATATCCCACGTATGCCACCAACTTCATTTACCAAAAGCCAAGGTAGTTCTCCTTCTTCCATGATCTGCACAAAGAAGAAAGACACAAAGTGTCAGAAGAAACACATATTATTATTTCCAGACATTTTAAAGAATAATCACTGCCATGTCCTGTTTAATGACATTTATGTCAAGAGATCCTGTAAACCAAAAAGGAAGATAAGAAAACCAAGACAAACAAGCAGGTCTTTTAAATCTGCTACCACTTATACACACAATTGCCCACATACATATACAGAGGTTTTCACATAATCAGTCTGAACAAGTTCTGTCCCCGTGGTCTAAGATTCCATATTATGCTGCCGTGCCGGATTTCTTCTGCCCGACTAACTCCCAACACTGTCAGCAAGAGTGACCACCCCCAGACAGCTGTCAGGGACCAAAATACACTAAATCAAAACCATACACCAGTTTATAAAAGGGGGAGGTCCAGGGGAGGATACAATCTTTAGCCAATTGGGAGAAACTCACGGCGGAACACAAGGAGGGTGATACAATATTTAAACCCATAGAAGATTACAGGGAAGGAGAACAACTTAAACAAACCAATGGGGTTTTGAAGGATACAAAATTGATAGGGAAGTTTCTAGAGAAAGGGGAGGAACTGACATTCAATGAGAGGAGGAACAGGGAACAAAAGGGCAGGTCTGTGGGGAGATGGACAACTAGACCAAAACAACAAAAAAAGCAACAACTAGGGCAAAAGGAACTAGGGCAAAAAAACAACACAGGGGGGAAAGGAACAATCCATTGGTAATAAAATATGCTATAATAATACAAAATGCAGGGGGGGTGGTTATAAATCTGACTACTAGGACCGAATTACAATCAAAAATATGTACCACAGCAATATTACTGCTACCATGCTCAAAACACAACACTTGCCATTAACTACTTAGTTTCAGATCCTCAGTAGCTTGCAGTATATAGTGCAATAAATCTCCTTTGCTACCCTGAAATCACAAAGTACCCTGTCTAAGTAGTTTAGAAAAATGTTGTGCCAAATTTACGTCATGAAAATAAATTGCACAGCTTCATCATGAACTTTGAGTTATCAGGTTAATTTTTAAATGCTTTTTGCAGCCACCTGTCCTGAAGAGACCCCAGTGACTGCAGAGCCCTTTCCTAAGCCTACTGTAAATTACCAAAATAACAGAATCATATATGCTTAGGCAAGTGTTTTACAAGAAGGACATACACATTCTAAATTGTTTGGATTGATTTTTTGGTTTTTTTGGTTTTTTTTTCCTCAGAATCCCAAACCGTCTGGTTTTGGTCCCAAGAGGGCCTGTGAATTGAGTTACATTGGGTTTTTTTGACAGACTATATATAGCTACCTTTGATTTTCAATAGCAATTTTGGGAAGAGCTGTGGGGAGTGTTCAAGAGTTGAAGATCTTGGAGTAGCAATCCTGCAGCAGTTCTGTTGCCTTGCTAGTATTATTTTAGGATTTCCAATGGAATGTCTTGACCTGCCTACACTTCCTGCGCTAGAACTTCATTTTACCATCCCTTCAGGGAGCCTGACCATGTTGCAAAATAATGGAAAATCTTCCTGACTTTATGAAGGTGACAACCATTTTATTGAATTTTCTGAATTTGTTGATTGCTAATAGGAAAGAATGTAAGAAGAAGCTTGGCCCTGGACTGCAAGTCAGGACTGATCACTAATTTTGCTTTAGGTTATACCCTCACCAATGTGATTTCGATGGTAATTCTACTTTTTTCTCATGGCCAGTAAAGATAAAAGCATCATTTGTATCTGCACAGAGGAACTAAATCTCTTGGAACTTACTTTTATTTTCAAGGGATACCTTAATAACAAATAAAGACACTTTTTCAACAATTGGCTTTGCTTTCACATGTAGATGAAGCAGAGCTCTTCCTAAATTAGAAAACCTTAGGCCTATGATCAATTTAAAGAACATTTCTTCAGTGTTTTCATATAAAAATAGAATATTGGAATATTGGCTGAAAAGTCTTTCAGGATACAGTCAAATTTCTGCAGGGAATCTATGCTCGTTCATCTTCAACAGATTGGAGAGTGTTACACAAATTGCCAGATGCACTTGCTTATCATTATGCAGCAGCAAGAACTGGGAACAGAACATTGCTATTCACCGAAACAGACTGAAGATACGAAAATGCATAACAGTTAAAATCTTGAAACAAATTTCTTTTATTAGTTCCACTTTATTTTTTTTAATTGTGTGAAAAATGTGTATTTTGTGATTGGCTTTTTGCAAATATTAAAATGGGTATTTTATGTGTTATGTTAACAATTTATACTATATTAATCCTTTTCAGTAGTGTGTTAAATATAATTTTAGGCTATAACATAGTATTAAAATAAAAACTATGTGATATAAGATACTTTTTCTAACTAGCTTGAGAAATTCTTCGCACAGTGATAACAGCAACAAGACACCTAAATCTCCAAGAGAAGAATTATTGCCTCCTTATGTGAAAATACACACTTTCTACTACCTCCTTCTTGTCTTTGAGGTGCCAACAGGATTAAGGGGGGGAGAAGTTAACAGTAACCAGAGAAATCTCTAATTTGAAAGGAATGTATGCATCATGTATGAGATATATGAATATGCAACAGGCTATTGCTTTTAAGGGTTAGCCATGCTTTCAAGAGGAAAGCATCCAAACATTCATAATTTTCATAATGTCCTTTATTGCCCTAACTCTGATTGTCCAAATTCTTATTGCTCTAATTTGTGTTACTATTTTTATAACCATTTTATTACTATTAAACTTTTAAAAATTTAAAACAAGTGATTGGCGTTTTTCACAAATTGTAAGTAACAGAACAGATCAAGTCTGACAGTTTTGCAGCATCATGATGAGCAGTGCAGGAACAGGATACTTTTTTATTCAGCTTAAAATGGTAAGAAATAGTGCTTTCCAGTACACAAGAAATTTAGTGGCATCATCTGGCACTCATCATTTGGGAAACACTTCACTTGGAATGGGCTGGTCATTGAGAGCAGCCAGCATGTTTGCTATTGCTTCTTCTGCCATCATACGGATGGCCTGGACTGTTGCGGTTCCAATGTGCGGGGTTATGATGACGTTACTCAGGTTTAATAAGGGATGATCTCTGGAAGAAATGGAAGGAACAGAATGTGTTACACAAGGAACTTACTCTGCTGCTATACCATGCTAGTTGTGAAGAACTGAACCTCAGCAACAGCACATTCAGACCAAAGCACAGAACGAGCACGAAGCTGGGGGATGCTTGCTTACACATTTCTTCTTCTTCTCCATCCATCTTGCTCATTGCCTGGCGCATGAGTCAGGCTGGCAAAGACCCATCAGAGGTGGGAAAGGGAAATAACTTGTTGTTTATTTATGATTGTGCAAGACAGTCTGAGGTTTTGCCCTAACACAATGAGTCTCCCCGTGGAGAGCAAAATTATGAGCACACTTTGAACACAGTTTAAAACATTTCAGATTAACAGACTGGGAAAGAAGTTTCTTTACCTTGGCAGAGGCTCAGGGTATGTCACGTCCAGAGCTGCAGCCCTAATAACCTTATTCTGGAGAGCTTCTACCAATGCATCTTGATCAATAACTGCACCTGCATTGAAATTAAATCTTGATATCCTGATGAGTTAATGAATACATTTTTACCTATTGGGGGGTGGAAGGTCTCCAGGGTCAAGTGAGAAAAACTAGAGGATCTTTATCTTCATAGAAAATAGAAAGCCTTTTTAATAATTATTAACCAAACAAATCAAAGATTTTATTTCTTAACCTTTAATTATAGGATGATTATGGTCCACTGCGTAAGATTTTTCCTGGGATGAGACCAGTTTCAGTCTTTTCCTCATTTTGACACTTCCTGTATTATTACAGACAAGTCATGTAATCTCTGCAGATTTTCCACTCTTTTATCTCTGCTTTGTTTACTGATAATCTCTCTCATATGTTCATTCAGTACCAACAGAGCTGTCATCCCATGTGAGGCTTCCTTTCTACACTACTGCTCCAAATGTTACTTAATATTTTCCCTTGTACCCCGTTTTCCCTCACTGATGATAAACCTTTCAGTTATTTCCACTAAAACCCTGTGTCTCTAGAATAAGGCCAAAGAGAACCAACCATCTGCTGAGCATCCCTAATTTCCACAGGGCCTTTGAAGACATAGCATATGATCCATGTAAGTCACACATTTGTAGACTGCCAGCTACTTCATGACTCAAACAACAGAGGGATATCACAGACTGAGGTTGGAGAGGGGAATATCAACACAATCAGACAAAACATGACCTTTAAGTGTGGAGCCACAATCTGGAGTGATTTCAGATCCTCCTACCTCGGCTGATGTTTATAAGAGTAGCTGTGGGTTTCATCAGCCCCAGTTCCTTTTTCCCAATCAGTTTGTGAGTCTCAGGAGTCAGGTTCACAACCAACATAACAAAGTCAGATTGCTGCAGCAAGTCTTCCATCTTTGCACAGTAGTGGGCACCAACAGCCTCTTCATCCTCCTTTCTTCTGAAGAAAAAATGCACAAATCCCCAAACTGAAACAACTATTTCTACCTGAGTTTAACAAACAGTCAGCCCTAGGAGAGTTCCATAAAGCACAAAAACTGAGAGGTTTGAGACCAATACAAAGGATAAGCCATTGATAGGCTCAGTTGGTAGAATGGATGCAGAAAGGATGTGGGCTAGAGGGAGCAAGAGGCTACAGGAGTGGTGGGACACTGGAGGAGTGATGTATATATGAAAGCACAGCATACAAGCAAGATCAGGTTAGGAGGCTGGGGATGCAGTCAGACCCTGCTCTTCTCTCCTGTGTCTATGCCAATTCCTGTGGAGCCTTTCCTTGTCTGACATGCCAGTTAGAACTTGTGATTGAAAAGAAATGAAGTGTGAAAGAAAGGGAACTAGAGATCCATGAGAAATGAAGGCCTTTGTCATTGGCGCCAGTGTGATGAGAGTTCTGTCTAGGTGAAGAGACTGGCTGGGAGGAACAGCCATGCTGCCAGAAGCCTGAAGAAGAGTCTGACAGGACAGGGAACACCATGAGGGCACAAGACCTGGTTTGCTTAGACAACATCTCCCAAATTCTTACACAGTCCTTGTTTCAAACTGGTAGTGGCTAACCAGGACAGGGCAAGTGCAGGGGGAACTGCTTCCTGAAGGGAGCAGGAGGGACCCAAAGTGAGGAAGTGGTGGCACAATGGTGCTTGTCACATTGCTTACAACTGCCACAAGTGCACAGGAAGGCTGAGGACAGAGCAGAGCTGTGGCTTCTGTCACTGCCTCACGGACAATTAACTGCAGAAACCAGAAATGCAGAAACCTTTACCTCTGGTTCCTGTTATGGTACAGGATCCTCATGTTGAAGGCTCTGGCTCTCTGAGCCACTTTGTATCCAATGCTGCCCATCCCAATGATCCCAAGTGTTGCTCTGGTTACTTCCACTCCCAGCCAGTCAACAGCAAAATACTTTGTGTCTGGAGACAGGGCAATGAGGCAGCCTGCGTGGAAATACAGGTTGAATGGGTACAACTCAGCCATAAATGGAGGCCTGGGGGAAGGAAAAGGTTCATCACCATTACAGCAGTGGGGCTCTGGAGCACGCCTTACAAAACACTTTTGTTGATTTTGACCAGTTTATATAAGGGCCTGGATAGTGCCAATTCCTGCACCCAGGCCTGAAGCCTGTGTAACACAGTGGGATCCTGGCTGGGTACTGTGCTAGAAGGAGTAACTCCTTGGGGAATTAGCTTTTCCACAGATGGTGTGTTTTCTTGGAAGTTCAAAAATAGCTTCTTTGAAACCACCTGCAAGCACTGACTTCACTTCTTTTCAAGTGGGGAAAATCTCACCATTTCTCTCCTGGATCACAACTCAAACCAGTCTCATTCCTTGAGTAGGGGTGAAGGTTTCAAATTCCAGCTCAGCCAGGGATCTCAGTGACCTTTTACACAAAGAACTTGAGGTTCAAAAAGATACAGTGGGAGAAAACATTACTGGGAAAGAGATGTCATTTCATGCTCAGGGGTGGAGCAGCAGTGACAAGAAGACCACAAGTCCCTGAAGAGAGAGGCAGGTTCTTGTGAAGGTCTCTACTGACACCTTCCTTCCCCAGAAAAGCATTGCTCAGCAAGGGAGCAGGGAAAGAACCTGCTTTTAGGGACACAAACTAATGCTGCTGGCACAACTTATAACAGCTTTGTCAAAAGGATTATCATCTATTTCAAAAATAATGCTGATGCTCTTCAAGAAATACAACCCACTGGTTTAGACAAACTGATCACAGAGGTAGGAAAAAGAAGAATTTATACTAATTACTGCTCTGGAGTTGGAGATGTGGCCACTAATGCTCTGTATCTTCCTGCAGCTCCTAATGCTTCTTTCAAGGGGAAATGGAAAGAGATGGCACTCGGTTTGGATACACTCTGTATTCAGTTTTCACAGCTGTAAACAACCCACCCAGTGAACAGCCAGAGAAGAATGAAGCCCCAGACATTATTCCAAACAGGATATCACAAGACTTTCAAGAGCAAAATTTAGACAAAAGCCTTACTCTTGTCACTGTTGCCCTAAAAAGAAGTAAGACACAGGAGAAGTAGATGCCTCTGAAAGTCAAGGCCTCTGAAAATTTTTCCCTGTAAAAGCATCCCAAAAATTGATTCAGAAAGATCATCTCTCTCACAGCAAAAGTGAGGTGTGCCAAAGAAGTAGCTAGGACCTAGAAAATTTAAAACACTACCTTCCACTAGTCTTCTGGCAGAGGCCAGCATCAAGGCCATTCCTATGTCTGCTGTTGGGTCTGCCACAGCGTGCGGGGTGTTGGTCACTTTCACACCAAAGCTCGAGATCATTTTCAAGTCTAAGTGATCCACTCCAACCCCAGAGTTGGCAATCACCTTTAAATTAGGCAGGCTTTCTAGAAGCTCACGGTCAATAGTTGGCCTGCACTCAAACACAAAAATGGATTGGATTTTTTTTCTCATTTCCTCTTTGTTTCCAAGAAATTCTTTCATGGTGATAAGGTGAAAGTGTTTCTTCAAAAGTGCTGCAAGGTCTTCTAGCACGCCATGAGTTCCTCCTATATCCAGGATCAAAACAGATGGCAACTCTCCTTCTGCCATGACCTGAAACAGAGGAATAGAAGAAATACTCCTTTGTTTAGGAGAACACTCTGAAAGGAGCAATGATGTTCCTTTAAAAGTTATCATTTAAATTCACATGTATAGATCAGGAAACTGATGGAACTCAATAGTGCTTTTAATCCACAGGCACTTGGTACTAGTGTGGTACATCAGACAAATTCCAAGTACTTTTATCAAGTGCTGATTTAGACTATAACACCAAGGAATATCCACACTCTTACATCCAAATCCAGTCCTACAAGCTGTTCCTCTCAAAGAGTTTCATTTTGCTCCGGAATCAATACTGATTTCATACAAAACTAGTAGCTTTTCCAGTAGCTTACTCACCAATGCCTTCTATAAGCAGTGCTATGAAACAGAGGCTGCTAGGAATTTAATCAAAGTTTCTTGCCTGTTGGTTATGGTTGGTGAAGCCTGAGGTAATGTAGGATGGCACTGAGGCCCAGATGGTTCTGATATCTGTCAAGGATGGTTTATGTCTAAAAAATTTGCACAATGAAGGGCCACCCTTGGATAGCTGTTAGACTGCTTGCCTTCAGTGTTTTAAACATTCAGATCTGTACCTGAACTTACCTCATGCAAAATTTAGCACACGTAAGTGCTGAACCAGTGAGGAAGAGCACTAGAGGAGATACCACTGATAACACAGTCCTTCATGCTAGAACTTTCCTCTGCCCTGAGAGTTTTGAACCCAGTCCTCTCTACAGCACTCCAGCAAATGCACTCTGCAATAAGATAGGGGCTCCACATAAAACCAAACACCTAATTAGAGCTCCTATTGGCAAAAATGGTAGTTGAAGATTTCCTGCATATCTTAACAATAGCTGTGCCTAATTTCCTACAATTCTTTTTGCTGTGCTCTACTGACTTTTGATCTCCATCCCATTCTATCTCCTAGGCTTGTATCCAAGAAACCTGATGTCTTGCTACCTGAATCAGAACAATTTTCCACAACAGTATGCTGATTTATTCTGGGCACACAATGCTGGCCAGCTGTGTCCTGCTACTTCACTCCTCTCACAAAAGCCTTCTATGAGTAATCAGAACTCAAACCTGTGACAAAAAGGTGTCAATGTAAGTTGGAATTTTTTGTCAGCCATATTTACCCTTGTCCTGAGCAAACTCAGACTTATCCCAACCACATCTATTAAATGGTTACAATCTTGGCACCAGTACTGCTATTTTATCCTGGCCTTGATGAGCATTTCTGCTGCAGTTTCAGTCAGCTCCTGGACATGGGCTTGAAGGGGCCTCCATGCTAGGACAGGTCTGCAGTTCACCACAATGTCTCTGATAATACTATCTGGTTCTCAAACCACAAACAAAGCAATGAGGTGAACAGTGCAGC